TTGAAGGAATATAATTAATAAGGGGTGTATTAGTTTTAAGCCCATTAAAAAATAAATAGAATAATAGGGTTATTTTATTGTTGTTGGAATAGAATAGAAAAGAAAGAAGCAGTAGAGGAATAAGGATTGAGAAAGAACATGCAAGCTGCTAGAGAAAGTGGAAAACGAAAGAACGAGAATTCAACCGAAAAATAGTAGAGCGACCTTCAATCCAAGATAAGGGTGGGGTTCTGACTTTATAATTGGGTTTATGATGATTGATATGTGGGGTTAGAGGTGATTGCGGTCTTGTTCTTGAATTGAAAATATGTGATTGTTGTGTGATGAGGATTGATGAATTTTGGATGAATATTTGATGTCATGATGTTGTTTAATTGATGTAGAATTATAAGGTAAATTATGAGTGATGATTATCCATGATTATATTAAGTTTTAGAACTTTAGTTATGGAACCATAGTGAGATGCAGGGAAGAAAACGCAGAATGTTGCAGGGAAGAAAAAAAAACACAGAATTAGGTAAATTGATATCAGGTGCTGCTGTTTTAGAACAAGGAATTAATTTGGAGATAGAGTTGGTCGTACTGTTCTTAGTTAGGATTGATATCAGGCTAAGAATTAAAAGTGTAAGATGAATAAAAAGTAGCAGTTCTGATGTTAGAATTATGTTGTTAGAAGTTGCTTTGAATTATTAGAAAGGTTGAAGTTCTGATGTTAGAAATTGCGTTGGGGTGGTAAGAAGTAGAAGTTCTGATGGTAGAAGCTAGGTTGTATTAGTCAGAAGATTGTGTCATCAGAAGTTGTATTAGTCAGAAGTTGTATTAGTCAGAAGATTGTGTCATCAGAAGTTCTATTAGTCAGAAGTTGTATTGGTCAAAAGATTGTATCATCAGAAGTTGTATTGGTCAGAAATTGAGTTGGTCAGAAGTTATGCTGTTAGAAATTGTGTTATTAGAAGTTGTGTTGGTTAGAAGTTAAGTTGGTCAGAAGTTGTTCTGGTCAGAAGTTATGCTGGTCTTTATGTTGTTTTCGTATAGAATATGGAAGTTAGGTGCTTAGAAGATGTTGTTTGAACAATAACAGTAGGATAGTGACGGTAATGACGTAAGAGTTACAGAATAGCAGTATTGATTTACTATGGACTTAATGTACAACTGAGTTGTTAGTGAGAAGTTATTCATGATGTTCTGTTGATGATTTATAATAAATAAATGATGTTTGATGATTTATAATAAATAAATGATGTTTGATGAATTATTATGATGATATGAGATGTTGATGAGGAGACGTTGAGATGCTTTTGAGATGTTTTAGAGATGTTTTTGAGATGATTTGAGATGTTGTTAACTTGGGTGTTGTTATTACATTCATGGTTGTGTCGCATACATTGCATTTTTGCAATGGAGCTTATGCTCGTTGAGATGGCCTGTATTGGCAAATTTTGAGATGAAGGCTATGCCTTGTTGATGCCTCTATTAGTTGGCAAATTTTTGAGATGGGAGTTCTGCTCCAATGGTACCACATGAATTTGCATAGTATTGAGTCGCATTATATGATTTCATAAAGAAGTGTATTTTGATGTTGATGAATGTGTATGAACGTGGTAATTATTGTTGATTATGAGATGAGAAGTAGTGATGGTATTGATCCAATTTAATATATTAATTATCATGCACTTAATTATATTGTTAGATATCTCGCCCCTTCTATTTGAATGTTGCTCTTATGTTGGTAACATGCATGTAATCGAGAGTGAAGGTTGTATACCTTCAGTAGTTTGAGTCGGTGTCATTGCTCTGATATGTAACACTCGGGGGGATGAACGCTTGATGTTTTGATTGTCGATTTGTTTCCGTTGTTGAACTTTAAATTGACTATTATTAAATATGTGACGTTTCGAAGTTTCTATTTTGTTGTTAGAGATGTTATTAAGAATTCCACTGTGTAGATGTTGAATTATTAGATTAAAGATGTTATGTTGATGGTTCATCCGACGTTTTAAAAGTGTTATATATCCATAATGAATGTAATGAATTTTGATAGAAGAATTTGTGACGTCCCGATTCGTTTGTATGACTGAAATTTTATAACTCTGATTTATTTATGTAATTGCTTGGGGTAGAATTGGGGTGTTACAAAGTTGGTATCAGAGCAAAAGGTTGGTCCGACCTTGTCATCAAGTCTTAGTTGTCTAACAATCGAGTATTATTATTTTGAGTTCTAACCGTTGTTTATGTTGTAGTGATAAGTTGAGATGGCTGGAAGGAATGATGTTACACTTGCTGCTGCTTTAGAAGCAATGGCTCATGCGATGGAAAATCAGCCAAATGCTGACGGGAATGCTGGATCTCGTAGCTTGGCAACTTTCCAGAGAGAGAATCCACCTACGTTCAAGGGAATGTATGATCCTGATGGAGCATTGGAGTGGATGAAAGACATTGAGAGAATATTTCATGTGATGGAATGCACTCCAACGCAGAAGGTTCATTATGGGACTCATATGCTAGCAGTCGTGGATGATGACTGCTGGCTAGAGACTTGTCAGAAGTTGGAAGCTGCAGGTGAGAATGTCACTTGGGTTGTGTTCCGTAGGGAATTTTTGAGAAAGTACTTTCCTGAAGATGTCAGTGGTATAAAGGAAATTGAGTTCCTTGAGCTGAAGCAAGGAAGTATGTCAGTTGTTGAGTATGCTACAAAGTTTGCTGAGTTGGCCAAGTTTTATCCGCATTACGCTGAGGAAAATGCTGAATTTTCGAAGTGTATTGAGTTTGAGAACGGGTTGCGCCCAGAGATTAAGAAGGCAGTTGGATACCAGAAAATCTGTGTCTTTGCTGATTTGGTTGATAGCTGCAAGATTTATGAGGAGGATAATAATGCTCATTACAAGATTATCAGTGAGAAGAGGGGTAAGCACCAACAGAATTATGGTAAGCCTTATGATGCCCCAGCTGGTAAAGGTAAGCAGAAAGTTTCTCATGGTCAGAGGACTAGTGGGGGAGAAGCTCCTGCTGGTGTGATTTGCTTTAAGTGTGGGAAACCTGGGCACAAGAGTAATGTGTGCACTACTGCAGTGAAGAGATGTTACCGTTGTGGTAAGAACGAACATGTTCTATCTGAGTGTAAACACAAGAATGTGATTTATTTCAACTGTAGAGAAGAATGGCATATTAATAGTCAGTGTCTAAAACCAAAGAGGGCTAGTCAAGTGGTAAAGTGTTTGCTTTGGTTGAAGATCAGACAACTGCCGAGGATGGACTTATTAGAGGTACATGTTTCATTAATAGTATTCCTTTAATTACTATTATTGATAATGGTGCTACGCATTATTTTATTGTTATTGATTGTGTTGAAAGATTGGGTCTTATGTTGTCTTCTATAAATGGAGAAATGGTCGTCGATACTCCAGCCAAGGGGTCGGTGACTACTTTTTTTGTGTGTGCTAAGTGTCCCTTGTCGATCTTCGACAGAGACTTTGTTGTTGATTTGGTTTGTTTACTGTTAAGAGGTTTGGATGTCATTTTGGGTATGAACTGGTAAGAGCATAACTGTGTTCATATTAACTGTTATGAAAAGTCTGTGAAGTTTTCTACTCTTGAACAAGAAGAAGATGGTCTGCTATCTGCTAGACAATTGAGGAAGTTGATGCAAGAGTGTAGCGACAAAAAATGTAGCGGGGTAAATCGGAGATCGACTATTAATTAACTCGTCTCACAAAAGCAAGAGTCGCCACCGTGCTTTATTATTTCCAAGGGAAAAGGGAAAAGAGCGAAATAAAACCCTAAAAATATGCAATGTAAAATAATACTAAAAGTAATGAAAATACAAGGCATTTTGAAAAGATGTCTAGAGTTCGGGGGTTGGTTATACAATGGGAAGGTATTAGCACCCAATGCATCTATAGTATCCTATAGGAACCTTTTGAAATATTTGTTTATTAAAATTGTTTGTTTGATTAAAAATGGTTTGTTTGGCCAAAAATGGGTATGAACGAGTTTTTGAAGATACGACGAGCTAACGTCGAAGTTTTGACTTAAAACGGTGTGAGTTTGAAAATTGAACATTTGAGAAAATTATCTTAAGTTTTTTAACAAAATAATCAACGAAAAAATGAATGAGGGTATTCGCACGATTAGAGACGTGTTTGATGACATGAAGTAAACAAAATTAAGCAATTCCCTTGGATTTGAGACGGACGAAAAATATAAAGATTGACGATAAAATTAATTAACATGACAATTAAACAATTAACTAATGTAAATTAAATCATACTAGCATGCATTTTAACGATTAAATAAATAAACAAAATTACATAAAGACTAAATTATAACATCATGGATTTTTAATAATTAAAACAAATAACAAGAATTAAATCATGAAACATGTATTTTTTAAATAATTAAATAAACAACAACAAAATTAAATAAAAATTAAAAGTATGTTGACAAAATTAAATAAAAGATGAATTCTAATAACATATTTTTTTTATTATGTATTGTAGTTAAATAATATTTAATAAAGTAAACTAATATAATCAAATTGAGAGGAAAAAGCTTAAAAGAACTAAAAAAATCCCCAGCAAGAGTTGAACTCAGGTCTTTAAGGTTGCTGGTAATATGCTTTGTCATTTAAACTGTGATGTTATTCATTATTACTATGAGTTTATTAAAACATAAAGGAAAGTTGTTGATGAAGCTGGACCAAAAATCAAGCCCAATGGGCCAACCGGGTTATGAATGAAAGGAATAAGAAAAAGTTGGGAAACCCTAATATGCAAGGGAGAGGCGCCGCGCGGCTAGTATCATTGGGAAAGGAAAACAGAATAATTAACATTATTACTGTAAGATGTGCATAGTGGATTGAATTATTAATGCTGAATAAACAACTAAAGAAAAACTAAAAATAAAAACACTCTTCTCTCCCTCTACGGATTCAACTTCCTCTCTCTGTTCAAAATGCCAAATTTCTTCTTCATCTCACGCTAAAAAAATCCAACTGAAATGACTTATGAAGCAAACGATTCCAAACCACTCATGTCGAACGAGCTGCACCACACCACCGCTCTCTTTCTAGGTTTTCCGATTTCTTCAAACAAACCAACAACACTATCTTTACTCTCTTCTCGAATCTCAACATCAGCACCAGCACGCGGTTTTCTTGCTTTTTGAGCGTTGTTTTGAGCGACTCTGGCTTTTCTCCTTCGCCGTACTCTGGCAGGTTCAGGAGAGTCGTCGGCGGTAATTTCGAGGCGGTCAGCGAGACAAGTTTTGGATCTTCTTCTGAGAGGAGAAGTTGAGGGTGACGGTGACGGTGACTGGATTGGATGATTAGAGATTATTGGAAGTGCTGAAGTTGGCAGTGGTGTAGATGAATCCATGAGGATTGAAAGGAGTGAAGGTTTTGAGTTTAGGAATAGATTAGGTTGTTAACAGGTTCTGAGATTTTACAGATTGGATGTTTTGGATGGCAGGTTGTATGGTTTTACAGATAAGGTCTCTTTAACAGCATGTTTTAAGGACTTTTGGTTTTTTACAGGCTTTTTGGTTCTTTGACAGGTTATAATGGTTTTAACATGTTGTTGTGTTTGTACAAGTTTTTTATGGTTTTTAACAGCAGGTGCTAAGGCTTTGGTCCTAGGCTGTTTTTTTTTGTTAACAGGTTTATGCTTTTGAAAGGTTTTAACAGCAAGTGTTTTTTGACAGGTTGTTGGTTTCTAAACTGTTTTGAGATTTGGTACTGTTTTGGTTTACATGTTATAAGTTTTGGTAATAGGTTGAGTGTTTATCAGGTTCTAATGGTTTGAACTTTTGTAGTTTTAGTAACAGTAGGTTAAGAAAAATTGTTTAGAGTTACAACAAGGTCCTGGGTGGTGTGGTATTTTATGCTTCTTTTGGATTTTTGTTGAGACTTCTTAAGTAAATTACATCTCAAAATTGATTGGGTAATGTTGATTAATAAGTTATGTTATTCTAACGGGTTGGGAAACTAATCTTATGGATTAATACTATAATTATTGGTTTTAACAGATTATGCGTATCATTGTTCTAGGCATGAAAAGTGATTAGCTGTGCAAACAAATTTGGCAAGCATGGATGCATATGTGGAGAAAGTTTGCAGAAAATAATGGGAAGAAGAATACCTATCGGAGTCTCTCCAATGGAGCTTCAAAAAGCAGTAAGTTCTCTCAACTTTAATCTTCTATGTGTGTTTTCTTCTCTTCTCTTGCTGTGATTTTTTGAACAAAAAGCTCTCTTTCTACTTCTTCACCCTTGCTGAATTTTAGATTTCTTCTTCTCTATTTTGTGTTGACAAAAGCCTCTATTTATAGTGGAGTGTGTGGGGTTTTAGGGGGGAAAAACAGTAGGGATTTGAACTATTTTGGCAAGCTGTTTTCATGCTTTGCTCACACAATTTATTTGAACCATTTTGATGCAATCTATGGCTATTTTGATGCAGGTTGGAGCAGATTTTGGCAGCATTTGTGGCTGCTGTATGTTGCTGTTTTTTCAGGCTGTTTGTAGAATTTTACAACATCTTTTCTTTGGACTGCTATGCTGCATTTTTGGGCTAGTTTGCTTCCTTGTTGAACAGTAAAAATGCAACAAAATTGGGCTGCAAAATGGACTGCATTAACAACTTTGTTGGGCTGATTTTTTTTGTGTTGAAAATATATTTTGTACAAACTTGTATCTTCTTTGCAATAAATGAACATTCTTGGATGAGATCTCTTGATAGCAACTCTTTAATTATCACTTGAATTCAAAAAAAGAAAATTCCAAATATTCCGAATAAATTCTTCTAGAACGGTTTTGAATTTAATCATCCCATTTCGGCGAAATTCAACCCGCGGCATGAGAAAATTTGCAGATGACTTTTGGTCCAAGAAATCGAAAATGACGGTATAACTTGGTTTTTCTTGTATTTTAGAACAATGTGAAACACACATGAACCAAAGTCGGTAGAACTTCGACCGTTCTTTCTGAAAAAATATTCGGAGAAAATGGAGACCATCCGTTGGACAGAGTGTGGAAATAAACGCACAATTCTCTGAAATTCTTTTGATGAATCAGTTTCTGGGAATTGACGACCGACCGCATTTCTATCTCGAGACTCAAAACCCTAATCGACGTACAACGTCTGATGCTCTTCTTTCAGACCTATTTTCTACACATGGAAACAAAACAGCAAAACATACACTTCATGCTTGATTAGTGGTTAGTCATTCATAAGATAAAATGCTCACAACACTTGATAATCTCTACACAGTCAAAACTCGAAGGCGAAACGTTTGAAACCTACCATGTTCTGTGACCTTGATGTGTATATAAAATAATGCAGATGAAGCAGGGATCTTAGGTCAAAAATTGGGGTATGACAGCTGCCTCTATTTAAGTTTCTTCTATCCGGAGATATGAAGATTAAAATCTTCGTCTCGACGAGATTGGAGGTACTTAAATACATAATACGCAATTTTTTCCCTAAGATACCGCCATTATGTTTATGATATGAATGTGGTATTTAACTTTATGGAGAATGATACTGTATGAGACAAAATAATGTTGGAGAAACCAAGCACCAACAACCCACAGGAACATAGATTATACACTACTGGGGAAATAAGCCATCGACTTCGAATGATAGACTCTTAACGGAGAATATAATTTGAGAGAAGACAACTTCTGACCCTAACAAAGAAGACGCCTTGCATAGGTCACAAAAAAAAGATTATTGACCCAAGATGATAGTGAGTTCACAACTCAAGGTCAAAGATAGACAAAAGATGTATCAACTTTTGCTGATAACGAACTACCGACTTCTGAAGGCAAAGATTCACAACAAATTTCTCTGTGAAATTTTTCCGGAGGGATACCAATTGATGCTGAAATCATATATGGTTGTAGATATAAGCTGCTCAAATAAAGAAGCCGCCACTTGCTGTCTGCGAAGGATGTCTATAACATACAAGCTGCTCAAATAAAGAAGCCGCCACTTGCTGTTGTCCAAAGATGTCAATAACATACAAGCTGCTCAAATAAAGAAGCCGCCACTTGCTGTCTTCCAAGAATGTCTATAACATACAAGCTGCTCAAATAAAGAAGCCGCCACTTGCTGTCTTCCAAGAATGTCTATAACATATGAGCTGCTCAAATAAAGAATTCGCCACTTGTTGTCTTCCAAGAATGTCTATAACATACGAGCTGCTCAAATAAAGAAGCCGCCACTTGCTGTCTTCCAAGAATGCTAATAACGCACAAGTTTCTCATAAAGAGACTGCCGCTTGCCATTTTCCAAAACTATTAATAACGCACAAGTTGCTCATGAAGAGACTGCCGCTTGTTGTTTTCCAAAACTATTAATAACGCACAAGTTGCTCATGAAGAGACCGCCGCTTGCCGTTTTCCAAAAATATTAATAACGCACAAGTTTCTCATGAAGAGACCACCGCTTGCCGTTTTCCAAAAATATTAATGACGCACAAGTTGCTCATGAAGAGACCGCCGCTTGTCGTTTTCCAACGATGTTTCAGAAGAAAGTTGTGATAACACTGCCAGAGAATAAAATCTTATTCAAAGGGAACCATGAATAGATCCTTCCTGAGGAGATAAAATACTTAAATGCGCAAAATAAATGCACCATTCATCTAGGTTGCCTAGCCTGGAGAAAACCACAAGATAGCCTATGCAAGAGACCAAAAACTCCCCCAGTAATAAACCAGAGAGAAGACAGTCAAACAAGACTCCACCCAATGAGAAAATAACTCAATTGGGGATTCATCCTATTCAGAAATGGACAAGGAAGGCTAAATCAAAAATTCATCCATGAGGATTAGTTCAGCTGGGGTAATTAGAAAGGAAGCACATTTTCTGCCTAAGTTAACATTCTACTTGGAAAGAACATGTACGTTGTTTGAATAAACATAAACAAGGTATACAACCCAAAATCATCGACAAATGTGAATGTATATGCATGATGTAAGTGTAAATGAGTAAATGAATGTTAAGCTGACAGAACAGACAGAGAAAATATCTTGAAGATGATAAGATATCACGAAATAATAGATACTCGGCCAATCTTAAAGAGACGGAAAATAAATGGAACTGAAACCAAAAAGCAACGTCAGAGCGTATCACGCTACAAGGCTCAAGTCTTCTGGGGAGAAAAGTATTCAAATCCAATCTTCTAACACCAATAGACCACTGACATGATACAAAATGTAACACACCTCAGAAATTTGCTCAAATAAAGACAACCGAAACAAAGCTTAATCGGAAATGCTGGGGAGTCACCAAGCTTAGTACCACTAGAAACGCAAGTTTACACAACCAACACCTCATGACGATTTTGAAAGAAAACATGTTCATCATGCAAGGATAAATTATTGTATTGCTTTGCATTTCATGGCTTAACCATCCTCGGAGCAACTATTAATATCCCTTTCAGTATTCACGACACATTTTAAAATAAGAATGCGTGAAATAACTTTGCTTCAAATATTGCCATAAAAAAACTAAAATTTTGCCCATAAAAAGATAAATGCTCAAATTTCATTAATAAGATGGTAGTTCGCTAACAATGTGACTCCAATGGTTTACAAATTTTTTGGGAAATAGTACATGAAAGAAAAAGGTTACACAAAAACAATGATCCTTATTCTCCCTAACAACTTCGAATTCCGAGATGTGCTCAAATGCCACGACTGGTCTGACCAAAAGCTTGCCTAAGTCGCCCCTTTGGGTTTTTAACTCAGCAAACTGTCAACTCAAACCTAGGCGAAATACTTCTTGACTGCATCGGCGTTCACGGAGCACGGGAGTTCTTCACTATCCATATTTGTGAGAATCATGGCGCCTCCAGAGAAAACCTTCTTAACGACATACGGTCCTTCATAATTCGAAATCCATTTGCCCCTAGAATCAGGTTGGAAAGATAATATCTTCTTGAGTACAAGGTCACCTTCTCTGAATTCACGTGGTCGAACCTTCTTATCAAAAGCCTTCTTCATTCTCTGCTGATATAATTGACCGTGACACAGCGTTGTCAATCTCTTTTCTTCAATTAAATTCAACCGATCATATCTACTTTGACACCATTCAGCCTCATAAAGTTTAGCTTCCATCAACACTCTCATAGATGGAATCTCAACCTCCACGGGGAGTACTGCTTCCATGCCATAAACTAGGGAAATAGGGTTGCGCCTGTTGAAGTTTGAACTGAAGTACGGTATCCATGTAAAGCAAACGGAAGCATTTCATGCCAATCTTTATATGTTACCACCATCTTCTGGACAATCTTTTTGATGTTCTTATTAGCAGCTTCAACAGCCCCATTCATCTTCGGCCTTTAGGGAGAAGAATTATGATGTTCGATCTTGAACTC